GGCGACATTCTATTTTTAGCAATGGGAATTTCCAGGTTTTGATTTATTTTCGTCTGAACATCATGCAGGCTATCAGCTTTGAATAGTTTTTTTATTTTATGGTATTAATACAAAATTAAGTATATAACAATCTGTGTGTGCAAAACATGCATGCAAAATATTTTTTGCGTGTTTATATGATCTTAATGCGTGAAAAACGCAGGCTTCTGCATTAACGCGAATACTGTTATTATTATATAGTGACGTGACAATGTGTGAGGTGTGGAGGAGTGAGGTGAAATAGGGATTAACGTCGCGTCCAAGATTATTGTTATATAGTGACGTGACAATGTGTGAGGTGTGGAGAAGTGAGGTGAAACAGGGATTAACGTCACGTCTAAGATTATTGTTATATAGTGACGTGACAATGTGTGAGGTGTGGAGGAGTGAGGTGAAACAGGGATTAACGTAGTGTTCAAGATTATTGTTATATAGTGACGTGACAATGTGTGAGGTGTGGGGGAGTGAGGTGAAACAGGGATTAACGTCACGTTCAAGATTATTGTTATATAGTGACGTGACAATGTGTGAGGTGTGGAGGAGTGAGGTGAAACAGGGATTAATGTCACGTTCAAGATTATTGTTATATAGTGACGTGACAATGTGTAAGGTGTGGAGGAGTGAAGTGAAACAGGGATTAACGTCGCAGTCCAAGATTATTCTTATATAGTGGCGTGACAATGTGTGAGGTGTGGGGGAGTGAGGTGAAACAGGGATTAACGTCACGTTCAAGATTATTGTTATATAGTGACGTGACAATGTGTGAGGTGTGGGGGAGTGAGGTGAAACAGGGATTAACGTCACGTTCAAGATTATTGTTATATAGTGATGTGACAATGTGTGAGGTGTGGAGGAGTGAGGTGAAACAGGGATTAATGTCACGTTCAAGATTATTGTTATATAGTGACGTGACAATGTGTGACGTGTGGAGGAGTGAGGTGAAACAGGGATTAACGTAGTGTTCAAGATTATTGTTATATAGTGACGTGACAATGTGTGAGGTGTGGAGGAGTGAAGTGAAACAGGGATTAGCGTCGCGTCCAAGATTATTCTTATATAGTGACATGACAATGTGTGAGGTGTGGAGGAGTGAGGTGAAACAGGGATTAACGTAGTGTTCAAGATTATTGTTATATAGTGACGTGACAATGTGTGAGGTGTGGAGGAGTGAGGTGAAACAGGGATTAACGTAGTGTTCAAGATTATTGTTATATAGTGACGTGACAATGTGTAAGGTGTGGAGGAGTGAGGTAAAACAGGGATTAACGTCACGTCCAAGATTATTGTTATATAGTGACGTGACAATGTGTGAGGTGTGGAGGAGTGAAGTGAAACAGGGATTAGCGTCGCGTCTAAGATTATTGTTATATAGTGACGTGACAATGTGTGAGGTGTGGAGGAGTGAGGTGAAACAGGGATTAACGTCACGTTCAAGATTATTGTTATATAGTGACGTGACAATGTGTGATGTGTGGGGGAGTGAGGTAAAAGAGGGATTAACGTCACGTCCAAGATTATTGTTATATAGTGACGTGACAATGTGTGAGGTGTGGAGGAGTGAGGTGAAACAGGGATTAACGTCACGTTCAAGATTATTGTTATATAGTGACGTGACAATGTGTGATGTGTGGGGGAGTGAGGTAAAAGAGGGATTAACGTCACGTCCAAGATTATTGTTATATAGTGACGTGACAATGTGTGAGGTGTGGAGGAGTGAGGTGAAACAGGGATTAACGTAGTGTTCAAGATTATTGTTATATAGTGACATGACAATGTGTGAGGTGTGGAGGAGTGAGGTGAAACAGGGATTAACGTAGTGTTCAAGATTATTGTTATATAGTGACGTGACAATGTGTAAGGTGTGGAGGAGTGAAGTGAAACAGGGATTAGCGTCGCGTCTAAGATTATAGTTATATAGTGACGTGACAATGTGTGAGGTGTGGAGGAGTGAGGTGAAACAGGGATTAACATAGCATTCAAGATTGTTGTTATATAGTGACGTGACAATGTGTGAGGTGTGGAGGACTGAGGTGAAATGGGGATTAACATAGCATTCAAGATTATTGCATGCACATAGCAATGTGACATGATCTATGAACCATATGAACCTCATAAACAACTCTGTAGCACAAGGGCTAGTGTCTTGCAACTTTTGTATTCTTTAAGTTCTGAGCCAAATAAATTGAACCATGTATATACAAGAGTACAAATTTGAGAAAATAATTAATTTCAAATAATTTCCAATTTTAAAATAATAACTAAAAATGTGGAACTTTTAACATTCTTTATTTCAGAGCAACTTTAATGGCATTGCTCCAAAACCAGTTAAGCATGTTTCCGTTTTTCACAAAACTGATGCAGGTCGTCAGTTTCAACAAAGGGTGACAGACAGCTCAATTTTAGCGAATTCGAAGTGACAGAAGATGCTCGTTTCTAACCTCTGCATTATTGATTTGAATCCACAGACAGCTTACTGCTGCGGAGTGTTTATTCCGAGTGCTATTTTACCATTGTTAATCTGCTACAACATATCAAAGCCTTTCACTAGATTGATGTGACAGCTATTTGCTAATTTTTCTTCCAGCATGTCTCATCAAAGAAATGTTTTATTCTTCTAATATGAGAGTTCATTGAAAAGTAGGAGAAGGGTGGAATTATTTTGAGATTTATTCCCGGTCAACACAGCTGATGGCGTCCTCGCTCGACACGGTTTAGTCCATCAACATGTTATGAAGTTTTCTCAATGTTCCTGGACACAATAACTGTGATTAAATTGGAGTGTAAACAGTTCTTATCTGCAGATTATGTGTAAATTGGGACCATGTTGACAAAATAATAATCTCAAGGACTTGATACAAAGACAGTTTGGTGAGCTTCTTATGGAACACCATGGTCCCTTGGATGTCTTTAAGGTAATTGAGTTGCAAATGTCAGTTTTATATTTGCAGTGATGTTTTAGATACAAAAAATCCATAACGACCACTTTTAATCTACATAATAACTTTATTAAACTATGACCCTTTCGGAAATTAAACTTACCCCTTTGATTAAGTGAGTGAGCAATGTCTTACACCTGAGTCAGGAAATTGTCACAGTGGCTTCATTAGGACTGGGCCTGGGGACAGCCTGCTACTGTAATTAAATTTAACTGGGCCTGGGGTGGCCTGTTTTTTTCATCAGGGCAACAAGTCTGACCCTTTTGCTATCAAACCAAAACCTGATCTGGTAGATGTTTTGTCTCGTAAACTTAGCTACTGATAACCAATATATTGAAAAACTTAGACCCTCAGTGATGGACTAAAGACATTAAGTGTGGTGCAAATAAGGGTCTACTAAACTTGAATACTGGTCAATTTTAACAAGCTCTAGGCCACAGTACTGCTTCACATTTTCATTTCCTTATCTACAATACGGCTTCACATTCACATTTCCTTATCCACAGCAGTTTTCAAAGTGAAGCAAATGAAAGTCACTGGGTACTTGTCACAGCCCAAATGTTAAAACTTCAAGATTTAGGGGGTGCCTAGATTCAAAGACTAAAAGAGCAAGCATTAAGGGTCCCAGGAACGCCTTAACTTCAAACACTGCTCTCAGCTGCTTCCCAGGGCCATTATCAGTTCCTTATCAGTAATACTGCTTCCCATTTTCAGTTCCTCATCAGTAATACTGCTTCCCATTTTAGTTCCTCATCAGTAATACTGCTTCCCATTTTCAGTTCCTTAACAATAATACTGCTTCCCATTTTCAGTTCCTCATCAGTAATACTGCCTACCATTTTCAGTTCCTTAACAATAATACTGCTTCCCATTTTCAGTTCCTCATCAGTAATACTGCTTCCCATTTTAGTTCCTCATCAGTAATACTGCTTCCCATTTTCAGTTCCTTATCAGTAATACTGCTTCCCATTTTAGTTCCTCATCAGTAATAATACTGCTTCCCATTTTCAGTTCCTCATCAGTAATACTGCTTCCCATTTTCAGTTCCTTATCAGTAATACTGCTTCCAATTGTCAGTTCCTCATCAGTAATTCTGCTTCCCATTTTAGTTCCTCATCAGTAATACTGCTTACCATTTTCAGTTCCTTAACAATAATACTGCTTCCCATTTTCAGTTCCTCATCAGTAATACTGCTTCCTATTTTAGTTCCTCATCAGTAATACTGCTTCCCATTTTCAGTTCCTTATCAGTAATACTGCTTCCCATTTCCAGTTCCTTGTCAGTAATACTGCTTCCCATTTCCAGTTCCTTGTCAGTAACACTGCTTCCCATTTTCAGTTCCTCATCAGTAATACTGCTTCCCATTTTCAGTTCCTTGTCAGTAATACTGCTTCCCAGTTTTGATCCTCATCAGTAATACTGCTTCCAGTTTTTAGTTCCAATCCATATCTTTCTTCAATTTTCATTTCTTTTATCCACAATACTACTTGACATAATCATGCAAGAATGCAGAGACAGTCACATAAATCTTAGGCAAAAAAACTCCATACATGAAAAATCTTGCATACAAACTTCCAGACGAGGGCGATACCAGCTTTAAACATGATCTCAGCTAAAGAGTAACCTGCATGTACTTGCTGTAAAATCTGCGAGTGAGTCAGTCGGCCAGACTGTGACTCATGGTGATCTCCTACAAGTCTAGCCCATCACTGCACATCAATACCAAAGCAGCAAATGTCATCTTAAGCCATAAGCAAAATTACACCTTCCTAAAAGCAGGCTGTCCTGGACACACAAACCAGTGATTGATAGCGTGAGCATCAAACCAGGTGTTTGGGTCCTATTGAACACAAACAGCCTGGTCACACCTGTGAGTTTAAAGAGTTCTACTAAAAAGTAAAAAATATATTCAGAAGCAATTTTGACCACCCAAACCCCATTTCAAGTGGCTCTGAAACCAGGCATAGGGTGCCATTCTGATAACTATCAAACGGAAAATGTTATATGTGTTGTACACAACTTACCTTGCTAGCATCTATTGGGTTATCACTGAGATGCACTACTGGCCCTGGGTGTGTTTTTCGAGACCTGGAATGGTATGTGAATTGATCACTACAACTGTACATACAGGTTCTGATTTAACCATGTTTCAAATTTGAATATAGGGACAAATTAAGTATACTGCAATCTCAGTAAAATTAGATCTTAGTTCTCGCTTCCGCTTAACAAAGATCTGAGGACATACCATTATGGGTCACATCAGAACGACCGTAATGTGATGTCCTCAGATCTTTGTTTAGCGATAGCGAGGACTAAGATCTGATTTTAATGAGATTGAGTATACTGGTATTTTTTTGTATTTTTTTAAAAATGATAAAATCTGTGCAAGCACGAGACATGTGAGAAGTAAGTCAGCTGTTTCCCACCAATATATGAGGCACATGATTCAGTTTTAGCTAAGTCACAGATATATCACAGCTACATGTCAGCTATATCACAGATATATCACAGCTACATGTCAGCTATATCATAGATATATCACAGCTCCATGTCAGATATATCACAGATATATCACAGCTACATGTCAGCTATATCATAGATATATCACAGCTCCATGTCAGATATATCACAGATATATCACAGCTACATGTCAGATATATCACAGATATATCACAGCTACATGTCAGCTATATCATAGATATATCACAGCTCCATGTCAGCTATATCACAGCTCCATGTCAGATATATCACAGCTACATGTCAGCTATATCACAGATATATCACAGCTACATGTCAGCTATATCACAGATATATCACAGCTCCATGTCAGCTATATCAGATATATCACAGCTACATGTCAGCTATATCACAGATATATCACAGCTCCATGTCAGCTATATCATAGATATATCACAGCTCCATGTCAGCTATATCACAGATATATCACAGCTCCATGTCAGCTATATCACAGATATATCATAGCTCCATGTCAGCTATATCACAGATATATCATAGCTCCATGTCTGCTATATCACAGATATATCATAGCTCCATGTCAGATATATCACAGATATATCATAGCTCCATGTCAGATATATCACAGCTCCATGGTAGCTATATCCCAGATATAACACAGCTGCATCTCAGATATGTCATAGCTGCATCCCAGCCATTTGTCATCTTTTGAACAGTTACTTTTCAACAACTGAAACTTTACGTCACCTACTGACCAGTTACATGTAGGAAATAGATGAATAAGAAAATTGCATAAAAAATGATCACTTTAGCCACTAACCCCAATCAAGTACATTTTCCAATAGACTAGTATAAAAGAAACTAGTTCACTCAGGAAGACATGATCTCCCCTTCAAGAGAAAGTGAACATCCAACTTTCCAAACAACAAAAAATAGTGTCTCTTGAAAAAATAATGGAATTATCTTAAAATTTACCATCTTTAGTTTCTATCTGTTTCAACTTTCAGAAAGCTATCTGGATGTTGTTTTTCTTGACACGTTTTCTCTATCTCTCTTTTCTGTCTCTGAACAACAAGATTAGCTACAAGGAATCTCACATTTTAACTTGCTATAGAGTGACTGAGTGAGTATGGTTTTACGCCGCTTTTAGCAATATTCCAGCAATATCACGGCGGGGGAAACCAGGAAATGGGCTTCACACATTGTACCCATGTGGGGAATAGAACCCGTGCCTTCGGCATGACCAGAGAACAATATAACCACTAGGCTACCCGACCGCCGAGATACAAGCCATACACAAAAGGATTCTTCCTCAAATCATCCAATAACAGTACACCAACACACTCCTTTCACAAAGTCAGAAATTCAAAGAACTTCTGTTTATTCAAACCCATAAGAGAAGTCAAAGAAATGTCCACAGCTGTGACACACATGTCAGAAAAAGTCCAAATCAAGTCTTGAAATGAATTTTAGTAAAGGGCAAAGGTCTTTCAATTGGTTATTCTGAGCGAAATTTCCATTCAAAAGTCATCAGGAAGAGCCAAGCCAAGGCACATGACCAAGTTGCTCAGACACCGGTACTGATTGAAGAGATTGGAACTCTTGTGGTGTTTGTGAATAGGAAGAAGACAAAATATCATTAGCATGATCAATGTTTCCAATGACATGCTGAGACCAAAGAATATTTTCACAAATTCTGTTTTTCATTAGAGCCAATAATCCTAATCGAAAATGGTAGCAATGGGAACAGTCTTTTGGTGTCTTCACTTACACTGAATCTTGGCCATGAATGAAATAAGTGACGGTATTTAATCTAATGATGATCTTGCAGGTTTCTGATCGCCCCAAAGACCTATCCAGTCGTCATTTGCAAAGTGAAATCTACGATTAGGGAATAGGTTGCTAAATGAAATCTGCGATTAATGAATCGGAATTAGTCGCGTCTTATTCACACCGGGTTGTCAATTACCATGACTTATGATAGTAATTTCAGACAAAAATCTCATATGGATGAAATCTACAGTCGAAAAACTGATTACCAGAACCCATTATTGATGTCATTTTTCAGTGAATCGCTACTGAGGAATTCCTGTAGAAGACCGTGAACAATAATGCTTTCCGATCTGAACAATGACCTTGCCTAACTTGGGGAGATTTAGCTTCTCACAAATCAATCTCTACTATCATGTTAAAGGTATCCTTTGGTGGGGCAAGAAGCACTGGATACTTACACATGGAAAGCAATTTACTCTAGAAAATACTCTCAGGCATACAGCAATTACGCTGGATTGAAACAAAATTACGACATTTCCATATTTTAAACTATAGATCGAACATTCCTCTATGTCAGTATTATCACTACCAAATAGGAAATAAAAATGACAAAACCCTTTCCATATTTCACAAGAAACCTCTGCAAAACGAAGAGTCCATTGTATGATTCCGACTGCATCATGAGTATGTGTTTACCAATCACTATCAAATAGTGATGATACCAGGTGTTTCCGAAAACTGGAGAGCATAACCTGCCCCACCAGTGGCACCCATCACAAACACAAGCAAAGGCAAGTCTATTGTTCACCTTAAAAATACGGGAACAATCGTACTAGTCAAAATAAGGAATTGCATCAGACATAATTTTGGTCACTGATGCATCAAATTTGGAAATGTCCACCACATGTCTACCATATCTTCAGGACAGTATGGATAACAATCAGTCAATGTCCTAGAAAATGAACCGATCTGAAACATCTGAGGTAATTGGGTCTCACAAAACAGGTGTACACAACGATAACAGTGACAGAGATCATCTGTCCACTGATTACATGTCTCCCTGTTGCCCTCTAAGCAGAACAAATGGCCAGTTGTTCACTGGTCAAGGAGGCATCCACGTCCATCCTCTAGATCACTCAACTCATGACCTCAAGGATAAGCCACCCAAACAATACTTCTTCGGAAAATAAGCTGAACAAACAACACTTCCAACGTCAAAACACAGGCTAATGTTCGGAACGTCTGCTGCATACGAAGAAAATACCCTGTTGAACCAATCAGACACAGACACTAATTCGTTCGTCCAAGACGGTTAATAATCAAGACGGATTAGTTGTGTTGTCCCAAAATTCTAGTTATTTTACATAGACCACGAGTCTGAAATGGGCTGTGGACTATAGGATATGACTAATGGTGTCTACCCCTGCCCATAATTTTCAAAGCAAGATGGTGGTCATATTGTTCCAATATTAGTCTATTAGTGAACCAACTCTCTTCAAATTTTACTCCTAAGTGTCCTTAGTAAGTGTTATCCCATCAGTAATAATCTGGGCATGTCATCACTTAGCTCGGACTGTGTTATACCGGAATTGATGGGATCTTTAATGAGTGGATCTACATAAAAAAAGTTCCTTATGGATGACACTGGGATGTTTCAGAGGTTTCTGAGAAGCCATAATTCTTAAAGAACAAGATTGAATCATTGGATAAAAAACAAACATTAAAGGTACTCACAGTTCAATTGCTTTGTTCCAGTTAATAACATACCCCGAGAGAATGAAAGACTCAATATTAACTATATGCACATTGCCTCGCTCTGTGCCTATGTACAACCACTTGCTTTGGAAAGGCCGATGGCAAAAAGTAATCCTGAAAAAGAGAATAACCGAATTAGTACATCATCAAAAACAACATTACAAAACCGTGCTGCAAGTACATAACTAGTGAGAGTGAAAACCCTGCCTTGGAATTCAGCCTTGTGCAGGAGTACAAGTCACCCTCGTTAATTGGCAGCAATCCAGCAATATCACGATGGAGGTGTCCCCAAGAATCGGCTTCACATATTGTACCCATGTGGGAGAATCAAACCTGAGTCTGGGGCAATACAAGTGGACACCTTAACCCCTGTCCTTCAGCACTGATGGTGGCAAGCCATGGACTGGACTGGGGTTCTGATTAGGACTGGGTTTCTGTTTTGACACAGCAAACCATGGAGGATCACGATTGAGATAGGGATAGGGATTGAGAAAGGGATAGGGACAGATTAGGACTAGGACTGGGATAAAAACTGTGATTGCGATTGTGACTGGGATTCAGATTGGGATTGGGACTTGGACTGGGATTGAGATTGAGATTGGGATTGGGACAGATTGGGACTAGGACTGGGATTGAGACTGGGGTTGGGTCTGAGATTGGGATAGGGATAGGGATAGGGATTGGGACTGGGATTGAGTTTGAGATTGAGATTGAGATAGGGATAGGGACTGGGACTGGGATTGAGTTTGAGATTGAGATTGAGATAGGGATAGGGATAGAGATTGGGATAGGGACTGGGACTGGGACTGGGGTTGGGAAAGAGATTGAGATTGGGACTGATTTGGACTACGACTGGGATTTCTACTTGGACTGCGATTTGGAGTAGGATTGAGATTGGGATTGGGATTGGGATTGAGATTGAGATTAGGACTGGCTGCACGGTATTACCGGTATACCGCAATATGAAAATGAAACAATTACGTATCGCGATATGTTTGTGATGTACTGGAATATTAACAATGATTTTGTGTTTTCAAATTTAACACTGTAGGCCAGTATACTGGCCAAGAAGCATCAAGTCCCCAGAAACCGTAGGCCGGTAGACCAGACAAGAAGCATCAAGTCCCCAGACACCGTAGGCTGGTAGACCGGCCAAGCCGTAGTCGCGTCAAAATACTATATAAATTTTTAAACCTACCAGTCATATCATTCATTTATTAAATCTATCACATTTCACAATGTCGGAAATATGTATTCCATTTCAATTTATCATTTTTTATCAACAGATTAAGAAATTATTCACTATTTCCCATAATGTTATTGAAAATAAAATTCTCGGACATGCACTTCGAGAACGGGTCCACATCGAACATGTCAAAGAGCAAAATAAAGATGTTTCAGGCAAATCTTTAAATATAGTATACAAAGTAATAAATAAAATCAACAAAAATATAAATTTTAAAGTTGTCAAACTTACAGCTAAGTAATTATATCCATCTTTTCGTGCGATCGCTTGTAATGTAAATCAAATGACATCTCGCCATTCATCGCCTCAAATTCTCGGCTCGGACACGATGTTTAATGCCAAAATATATGCATGAAAAATCTTTGTCACAGCTCGTTACCTAGCCTGATACATCCACGAAGCACCATATTTTTAATATAAATCGCAATTTCCTGCTTTAAATGTTCAGAATAGCACGATTTAACAAAAATTTGGTCAAAATCTGAAATTCATACCATAGCTGTAATTTGATTGGCTGCCTTAGGTCACATGCTCAAATTTGACCAATCACGAACCTTGTAGCAGATTTCGGCAAGAAAGCGCCATTAGAAACCAATTTTTATCCAATGAAATCGCTTGTTATAACTACGAAAGATTCCAGGCAATGTTACGAGCATGTAGATGAAAGAATAAGCTTTCTAGCAATGGTCATATGCCAGTCTTTGACAAACGTGTTATTCATACGGCTGTTATCGGGAAATGCGTGATGACAGATACTATTTATAATTCTTTTTAAAATGCTTTTCCAATTATGTAAACAATAAAAATAAAAAAGAAATAGGTACTGTTTTTTTATGAAATCGTATATTTGCCGAAAATCATCAAATTTTCGCTTCCTTGGTCCTTAATCTAGACGTCATGAATGTGTTAGCTTACATCTTTTTATTTATAACGAACATAATTAAGTGGTAAATGCATTATTTAAATAATGTGATAAACATAACTCTGTGTCACAGCAGTAAACGCTTCTGGCTTCAACTCTGTTGAAAGAGTTTAAACAACTGATACTGTCCATCTTTTTACCTGCGATGTCATTGTGATGAAATTGCGCGAACAGCTCTTTGATAAACCATTACAAGCTTACGTTACCACAAACACTGGACCCATATACATAAATACCTCCAACATTTCTTCCTGAACCTATGAGCTAAACACACCCATGATGTCACTGAGTCTAGAGTAATGATGCCATTATTATTTACTGCATGTTGGACTTTACCATCATGGTGCCTTAAACATCTATTCTTGAGTCAAATAGCACAGCCAGTCAGACACAAATACAATTGTGAATTTTGTCAGAACGTTCTGGTTTTTCCTTTTTTTTATTCTGAATAAAGCTAAACTTTGTATGATTGGACTGTGATACAATTTGGAGGTAAAACAATCTTAAACAGTGGACAGACCTCAATAAGTTTTCTTCCACAATATATTGCAGTACGTATTGTAATACAGAGGAATGTATCGCACTATATCGCAATACGAAATTTGGGGCAATTCACAGCCTTACGTTATACAAAAACAAACTACAACTCTGACAGCAAAACCACCACCACCACCACAAGAGTAGCTGGCGACGCAAGCTCCCTGCCCTGTCACTGTAGTATGGAGCTTAACACAGATGAGAGCAGACCCACGATTCTGAGTCTAACCGCTCACCACTCATAGCAGTAACCTTGTTACGATCACGTTGATAGAGAATAGTCCTCTCCACTACAAACACCTAAAGGCCTTCAATTTTTTTTATTTGAGAGCAAGCTCATTGGTCAATTATCAACTTATTGGATTGAAGCAGTCTATTTTGGAGGCCCCATTGGGTGAGGATCATCCATCCCATGTCACATGCAGAGATGATTCTTATGGCTCGAGTTGGTCTTGCTGCCTCGGCGAGCTCTCTCGACCTGCCTACTTTCCTGCTACAGTAAATTTGATCAGCACAAGATGTATTGTTAATTGCCTCAAACTTTGGCGGGATCCAAATAACCAGCTAACAATGGAAGCGCATAAAGAATTTTGATTGTGACATGTCTGATAAGATGTGGTGTCAGTGGCGAGGTCAGAGCTGTGAGGTGATGGGAAGGGTTTGGTAGTGTGGAGTGTTTCAGCTGACAGTGTTGTCAGAACGACACACAACTTTGATAAAGGTATCCTGTTGGGAGAGATATTTTCTTAATTCTATTTAAACAGTGTGTCTATGTTATCTTTACTCACAAGTACAAAGTGAAGTAGAATCAGGAGCCAGTCAGCATGAAGTGTGTGTGTGTGTGTGTGTGTGTGTGTGTGTGTGTGTGTGTGTGTGTGTGTGTGTGTGTGTGTGTATGTGTGTATGTCTCTCTCTCTCTCAGGGTGGGGGGTAGGGTTGAGTGGTGTTTGGCTGAGCTTAAAAACAATTCCTCTGTTAACATTTTTTTTATATTCACAATACAAAACTTTTCAGTTTGCAATTTACAATTTAATGTTAAACCTGAGGAATTATTTTTTCAGCATTTACGGTAAACATACCAATCAGGCCTCCATCACCACCCACCTCACTCCCCTCCACACTACACCCCACCAAAAGGTCGGCAAGTAACAAGTCCTTTTCTCTGGTATCTCAAACCTCAAGGCAAAACTGACAACGCAAAAGAAATTCTGATTTCTTTTAGGTGACAAAAAAGAGACATCCAACATCACTTGATTCTGTGGTTCAAACAACTTCACCAACAAAAAGCAGCTTGGATTGATGGTTCACTCTTACCTTTCCCTCTGAAACTTTAAAGAATGTACAATTTCCGGACGCTTCTGCCGATAGTTCCATAGGTGAAGGCTGTCGTCTGAGCAAACTGTCACTAGAGCACCCTGGGAAAAACAAGAGCACAAAACCAGTTATTTGACTTACAAATTGTCTGACATGTCACGTGAAGGCAGTGTACCAATACATCTAACATGTCTAATGAAGTCCGGTTATCTTTTCAGATTCATAGAAAAAGATGAGAAATGCTTTAGAGAACTGGAACTGTCAGAGCAGTCTCACTCTGGGGAATGAGTGGTGGGATCTAGACATTACCCAAAATGAATGTTTAAACATTTAAACAGGAGGTAGATAATGAGAATAGGAACTGTAGTTGTCCCAGCTGATTCTGTTTCCTACACAATAAATTTCTAGACTTCATAAAAAGAATCCTTCCTTGGTGTGCAGTCATCATTATTCATGTTTGAAAGGGTCATCTCAACATGCAGCACTGCAACACATCATCAAGGTGATTTTGCTCTAATTTTCCTTGTCTCATAAAGCTCCTACGATTACAAGTGGGTTTCCTCTTGTGCTGAGTGAGTGAGTGAGTGAGTATGGTTTTACGCCGCTTTTAGCAATATTCCAGCAATATCACAGCGAGGGACACTAGGAATGGGCTTCACATATTGTACCCATTACGGGAATCGAACCCGGGTTTTCAGCTTGACGAGCGAATGCTTTAACCACTAGGCTACCCGACGGCCCCTCTTGTGCTGAAGAGATTTGAAAAATTCAACCATAATTGTACTGTTTTTATATAAACAGCAGCATTAGAAATTGGCACTAGTCCTGTAGTACTTGACAAACTTCCCCATAGTTAAGGCATTAAAAGGACTGGTAGAAATTTGCCATTTTTAGGGTTTTGCTATACATTATCATAAGAAGGACTAGCAGACTAAAAATGTTAGTTTCTACCACTGTAAACAGTGACACGCAAGTTTGTGATGGGTCAAAGGAATAGTTGTCTGGAAGTAAAGCAGTCCTGACCAACTTTTATTTGTTTTTGTGTCAGTCATGTAAATAATAGAGTCTGAACCAGACAATCCAGGGACTGACATCATGTGCATCATTCATGCAATTGGTATACGATGACATGCAATCGATTAATTCACTGTGCCCGACCACCTGATCCATTTAGCTGCCTCGTTTGACAAGCATCGGTTGCTGGAGACCTATATTCTTATGCAGACTCCCAACCTGTCCCCAATACATCCATGAATAAGTATTAGTGTTGAAATCAGGAATGAAATCAAGGGACCCTGGTCATAACACTAACATAAAAAGTTAAAATTCATGGGAGGTGAGGTAAGGTGAGATGAATTGGGGTTTAACGCTGCGTTCAAGATTATTGCACTTATATAGCAACGTGCATGCATGTGCGTGGGTGGCTGCTTGCAGTAATGCCGGTTTTATAGTGCTAGCCCACTAAGATACCATGCTGCAGTTTAACATGAATACCCCACTCAGGACACAGTATACTGACTCCGAGCAAACCAGTCCTTATATTAGCCCCTTAATGCCGAGCACCAGACAGGATAACAACAAATACCCTGGTTTGGTGTCTTTTGGTCTGACCCGGCTGGGGATCAAATCCCCAACCTTCCACTCTCCGGGTGGATGCTCTCCCACTAGACCATGGAGGCTTTCTAAAATACTTTCAACTATTACAGGAGCAAACGTGATAGACCCCAGGACCATTTCTATTTCTAAAAACGTAGTACATGATTAAATGAAACACAATGGCATTGCAGCTAGTGCCCTTATCAACAGCCAGTATCTTGCTGTCACTCTGCCTAAAACATGGTGCTTATTAGGGAATGTCTCAATAGATGTTCATTTCTATATTCATGCTTCCATGCTTCCATCCATCCAACTCCATCAGGACAAGGAATGGACTTCTTGGTAGAACTCCTTGAATCTAGTCACTCCTGAGTTTTAATTCCATAGAGGAGATTTTCTCATTTACAGGCCAAGGGGCAAGTCTGTGCTTCAATAAAGCAATTGACTGATTAAAATATTTCCAAAATAACGTCAGAGAAGACTTGGGTCTTCACAGAATCACCGGACAAATGACCAAAGGTTGAAGTCTCTTGTGCTTTTTTATCTCTTGTGGGACAATAAAAACATCGGAAAAAAGGAAATTAAGGACATCAAACATCACTGATTGAATTCACAAGATCCAGGCAGTCAGACCTAAATCAAATCATTCCTGCATTGCTGTGGAAAATAGTCATCTTGGCACAAAAGATTAATGGAAAAACAGGCTGATGAAATCTAATGACAATGACGATGAAACTTCCCACTTACCTCATTAACAAGGAAAAGGATCTGGATGATGGCAGCGTCGCTGTCGTGGACACAATGGCAGTCAACACCTGGCCGACCAAGTCTGGTTGTGTGTTAAGGAAACAATTGGTTTTTTTTCGTTGTTGACAAAACACTGGTATTGATACAATTAGATATTACAACAATTAAATATTCACTAAATCTATGACGATCTTAATGTTTCCATAAGGTATTATTAATAACATACAGTTGTAAGTTATATACAAGCAAAACGTGTACAACATGAAAAGGTCAAATGGTATTATCAAGAAATTATTATACCAACAACCAAATTATTTCAAGATACATGATCACATTTTTTTTAATCTTCAAGAATGTTTCAGGTCTGTGTAAACCCTGATGTGCTGATCAATACACTTAACTTTGCTTGTGCATGTACCCAAAACCAAAAGCTCAATTGTCTTATCCTCAACTAATACTGAATCCTGACAACATTCATCAAGCATCTTACCAAACACACAAATCTCAAAAGCCAATGAGCCAACATTTACACAAAACCACCATTTCCCCTTCCGTATCTTTTGTTTTGTTTCTACGTCATCGCGATGGTAGCTCTGGTCGGCAAGACAAATCTCCTACTTCCTGAAGTATTTTTGTCCCCCTTACCAGGAGCAGATTTTGTTCCCAAGATGCAATTTCTTTCAAGATGATGACATCAGATGCGTCGGCTTGTCTCAGGAACGTGTCACACCAGCAGTAACCTGGCACCACACACTCAACTGACGTCCAAATTAAGATGCCGGTTTGACCATAAATCAATTGTCTCAATCATATAAAGAAGTATGCGAATCAGCCGAAGCAGGTGACATATCTGCACCATCATGAGTAGCGACATTGGCGACGTCGGTGCAGATGACGATGACATGTTCGCACAAGTCGCCAAAGATGGCCACCTGACCCAAGACATTGGGGAATATTTCCCGACAAACAGCTTAGCGTCATGACAACCCTTGATGGCGGAATGACTTCTGATTTTTAAAAACATCTGACAAGTTTGTATTTGTGACTTGGACAACTATAAAGAGGTCGCATGTGGTGTTTATATCCCGATCAGAAGCTGACAACTGAGACAGTCTATAATGACACCTCAAGGGGATTCTGTTGTGTTGGATGATTTTAATGACATTCCTTGGTGATCCCTAAAGGTTGGCGTAAGCATGTGGTTCAAATCTGACTACAATTTAAGAAATTGGCAGCAATGAATTAGCGGAATTTAAATCAATTCTTGTCTGTGCGTTTATATCTCAAGAAGCTTGGAGACAGCTGTGATAGAAATCTTCTTTATTAGATTTCAAATCATGGCATAATTTCCCCAGTGAGTTTCCACAATTTCATGGAAAAACTATTTTGGATCAGTTCAGGACAGGCCTTAAAAAAGAACTGTCAGAAAAAGATTTATTCTTCTTATAGGTTAACACTGAGGAAATTGTCAGGACACAGAAGTCTTACAGTTTAGCCAGCAATATAACAGCAATATAACAGCAATATCATAGCAATTGCAACAGTTACACGGGCCTCGATCAATTGATGTGAGGTGAAATGGGTTTAATCCACTTGCATTCAAGATTGTTCCACTCAGACAGGGACGTGCATGCACGTGTGTTCCTGCTTGTACCAGACTGGATTTATGTTTTTTAACCTGTAGTCCATCGAGATACCATGCCGCAGTTTAACATGATACCCCACTCAGACACAATATACCAACTCTTCTTTTTCACCAACCTCCTCCCTACAAGACTTTATCAGTTCACCAACTCTATGCATCCTTTATCGTTACAAAAACATGTTGAGTCTTACATTCAGGGTCCTGGCTCTGAATACCAGGCAGGGTGACAACAATTCCCATTTATTGACATCTTTAGGTATGATGCAGCCACTGTATCAAAGAAGACGCCAATGGTCAATGCCCCATCCTGGGCCTGGTGCCACAAACTGTTCCTGGCACTATGACCTTCGTAACCCCAATAGTCTAACATAGTCTAAAATCATGTTACCGAGCATGGTCCTGCTCGACAAACTGTTTAGCATTAGAAATACAACTACGTTAAATTGTTTGATAGGCATTACTTTGAAGTTGACGGGTGACAAAGGAAACACAACTTATGGATCAACAACCTCTTTAATTACTGTAAAGGCGACATTTCAGTATAGATCCCGCTTGTTATCCATAAATTGTATCTACTTTGTTAACTACTGTAAACCCCATTCTTCACACAGATCTAAGTTACTATTAGCGCTATGGGCCTCATTCCACAGTAATCTCAGTGCTATGACTTTCTTAAAGGGGAAGTGTACACGCAAAAATCACTTTCTTTCTTTTTCTAAACAAAACGCAATTTTAGAATTAATTAGTATCTGTGTTTGAAAATATACACTCATTTTTTTCACAGTGAACGTAGGAAGCTCACAATAGTGTGAAATGATATGCCGTTATGAGGCCTTCGTTTTTCGAGCTAAACAGGCCTGAGTTATCCCCCTTAGATTATGACGTAATTGGTGCCAATTCAACTGGGTCCCTGTCTATTCTCAACGCAAAAGATATCAAGTACCAGTTTGCGGTAAAACAACATGGCCTACGACACACTCCGGCGCAGTGGTGACTCAGCATAACACTATGCTGGCTGGCATCTGAGACGCTAGAATCACACACCTGGACCTACACCACGTGAAGCGGCTCTAACAAAGCATGATGACGTCATAATGTTTATCAATTGGCACCAATGACGTCATATTGCAAGGGGCATAAGCCATGGTGTTTTTGTTGTGGAAATAGAACACTTGGTAAATGTGAAAAATATAAATCGTTTTAATGCGAAAAATATGTTAATTAATTGTGATATTTTTATATTTTTTTCTATGACACTTCTATGTTAACACTTTTAATGTGGAAAAAGTACAAGAAAAATAGGTTCATTTCCGTGTGAACTTGCCCATTAAGTAAATATAAAAGTATGGGAGTTGATTCTAAAATTGTAAGTCAATATTCAAGTATTGTAGTTGGTGGTTTTAAAGCTAAGATCACTTTGAGCAAGTAGGCCTCGGTAAGGTAAAATGCAGTACAATCAATTTCTGCACACTAACAGCCTGGCCTCAAGAAACAACAATAACCATATCACTATTATCAAACAGCCAAATCCATTCATTATTTCTAATCATGAATCGGTATTAAACAAATATGTGAATTAATTAAATTTAGAAAATGGGCGTACGTAAATAAATGGCTCATAACTTGAAATATGTTGTTATGTTATTACTTCATAAATGAATTTTATTTTACGGGCACCAATTTGGTGTTGCACCGTGTAAACACAAAATGGCGACATGTGCTGGAGTTACACACGCGACCAGTCATCGTAGAAAAAAAACAACGCAAGATAAACATATTTTTTTTATTATTAAGGTTTGTGCGCGCACTTGTGATGTGTTTCATTCCAGGTCGCCTTATACACGGAGTATAGGATTTTGGGTTGATTTCGAAGGCCTGTACAGGGGGGTCGTCTTATACGTGGGGTCGCCTTATACACGGCGATATACGGTAACTAAAAAAGTATGGGAGTTGATTCTAAAATTGTAAGTCTATATTCAAGTATCGTAGTTGGTGGTTTTAAAGCTAAGATCACTTTGAGCAAGTAGGCCTCGGTAAGGTAAAATGCAGTACAATCAATTTCTGCACACGAACAGCCTGGCTCAAGAAACAACAATAACCATATCACTATTATCAAACAGCGAAATCCATTCATTATTTCTAAAAAAAATAATCTTCGAAAACAGCAGAAGACTGAACATGCACAAGCTACATTAAAAGCAAGCACTCAAACAACCACAAAGATAGTTTAACTGCAGACATTACGACAATAATTTCATCCCTGTACCAGTCTACCCTTCCAAGCTGAACGCAATCAAAGGCTCCTGCAACCTGTATCGTCTTCCCACTGGCTCAATTACCAATTACAAATCGATCTCGCTGCAGATAAAGTTCAGGATTTCAGGGTACCCAAACAAACCAGAAGCACAAACTGAACACACACCAAACGACCAAAGGTCAGGAAGGTAGAGAGTTTGTCAAGGTGTAGTTAGTCTGTTTGTTTTTGTAATGAGAAACAACACTGGTGTTGAGGTGGCTGAGCATCAGCCTCATGTCGGTTCTGTAGGCGATCAGTCCTTCAGAGCAATCTCATTAAAATCAGATCTTAGTTCTCGCTATCGCTAAACAAAGATCTGTAGACATCCCATTACGGGTGACAGAACGACCTTTCATCTGACCAATCAAAGCATCGCTTACCAGATCATGAAAGTGACAGTCGGAATGTGTTTTCTAATCATGCAACCTCGAAAACGTTAACAGGGGGTATTCCAAACAACAGTTACGGCTCATACGACTGGTTCCGTCAAATTCATTGTCTATCTCTCGCTTACACAGCATAAACATTTGAACGGAAGAGGCGTTGCATGGTACGTGGGAAGCACTGCCATAAAATCTCAACCATTTATTAGACATTCCAGAATGTTCGTTTGTTCAGTTTTCAAATTTTAATCGATAACTGTGTCAGCATATTTTTCAAGAATAGTCTGAAATGGAAGTCACCTGGTTGAAACAAGTTGTGTAAAGCTCGAGAAAGCTACTTTCTATTTGGTGATGTCGACTTCTTGTTAGTCATTTCAGTGGTTGGTCAAAGTTTGCAGAAGGTCGTTCTGACATGACCCGTAATAGGATGTCCTCAGATCTTTGTTTAGCAGCAGCGAGAACTTAGATCTGATTTTAATGAGATTGTCCTTCAGACATGTCCCCTCCTTACTGGGCTGCAACAGTTGACCAAATTCATGCAACTTTACTCTTCCAACAACAAAAATAAAGGGGTACTAGGTTCCCTGAAGTATGCTACTCCAGTACTTGAATCAGGAACCTATTATATTGTCAACCTTTAACATGTAGGTGTTTGGTCTTTTAACCAATCCCCTCCTTACTTCCTCTCATTTCACCAAATCCATGCATCTCTTTTCCTTAAACAACAATGTGCAGAGTTCAAATGAAGAGTCCTCAGT